TTCCCTATCATATGTCTTTTTCCCTATTCCCATCCCCACCAAACTGAAGTGCACACTCCACCCCAGGACTGCCTGAGACTTCCTCTCCCAGCGCTGGCTGCCATCACCTTTCCAAAGGGCACATTAATGGACTCCCTAGTGCAAAATAAAATACGGCTTGAGCAGCCAAGCTCTTTCTTCTTTTTCTAACCGCCTGACCTCCCCACCTAAGAGGCTTCTTTCAGTTTCTTCATGCTCACCTTATTTCTTGTCCCTCTTCCAGCCTCATTTGGCTTAATAATTAGAATGCAACCATAGCCCAGTACCATTTTCTCTGCAATTGTGGTGAAAGAAATCACATTTTTTCAGTCTGAGTGGTAATCACTGACTTCATTTTTGTTGATACATGCTCTCCTGAAGGTTAGGTCTGCTTCACCTACCACACTGTGCAGAAAAGGCTTCTCTTCAGCATCTGTTCTGTCCTCCCCCCCCTCCAGGCTGTCTTGACCCCTTTATCTTCCATTTGTTCCCAGTGCGCAGTGAATCACAGACAATGGCAGAGACGTGGAAATGTCCCCTCCTCCTGAGCTGACTGTGAGCAGATTTAGTTTCCAGTTTCTGCTACAGCCTCAGCCTGCCATTTCCAAGTATGAGATTTTTAATCATGCGCAAGTGCAAGCAAACAGCTCTTCACAAAATCAGCAGCAGCAGCAGAGTGGGGAGGCTGCAGCATCCTGACCAGCAGCCAGCAGAGAGAGAGGTTTGGCAGGGGGAGAGCAGCAGCTGAACCTGCACATTAGGGGGGACCATTCAGCCCCTGAGAACATGAAATCCAAGTGAGACAGCAAAAGACTGCAAGAACCTTAGCTGGATGCACCTTGCCAATCTGATTTCTATCACAGGGCTAATAGCAGAGCAACAGTTTTGGTAAAATAAAGGAATTGGCGCTTTGGATCGTTCAGCACTGACCGGTCATCCTGCCATTACACCGCAGGCTGCCCTCTCAGCTCACTGCACATCAGGGGCAGCAAGACCATACGATGCTCCCTGAGCAGGCTTTAGGGGCACAGCCTTGCTCCCTCCTCATCCCACCACTTCCACTGCCGAGAGAAGCAGCCTCTCTACAGACGCTACCCCACGCTGCCCGTTTGGGGTTAATGCCCACGCACCACTTACGGAAGCGATGTTTGGGTTTTGCCAGGTCATCCCCATGGCACAGTTCGTCCCTGAGGAACATCATCGCAAACGGGGAGACCCACGCAGCCTCCTCCTATTTCCAATATTTAGAGACAACGCGTGCTCCTTCAGGAGCCTTCTGATCTCTGGGCAAATGATCCATCCACACCCTGATTTTCTTCAGCTCTTATCTGGACACACAGCAGACCACACAGCACACGTTTCCTGCATTAGTTCACTTGCTATACATTAAGCAGGGCAAAGCTCAGTTTTGCTGTCAGATAATTTACAGAGGGACTGCTATGAAAATAATCTCTGTATATTAACAGTAAGTCAGGTCAATACTTCTAACGGCCCCACAAACAGAAGAGACAGCATGCAAGTAACTGGTTTTATTGTTTTGCCTAATCATCTGCAGTTGGTTTTTTGCAGACCCATTTCTTCCATAATTTACCAGTCATGGGTTTTTGCAAATAAAGATGGGAGATCATTTTTAAACACTGCTAATAAGCTCGTCAATTTAACAATGTACTAGATATGCTGCTGCAGCAATTTCAGCCTCAAGACTCGTGGCTTCAGGCCGTTGCCTGGCTAAAGGCACCCCACAGTCTGAGGCTGGGAGGATACTTGTTTGGCCAGCGAGAGGCCTTTCTGGGATGTCATTATTTCCCTGCATCTACTCGCCTAATGACTTCAGCATCTGCTGCCCTTTCTCTCCCTGCCTCCTTCAGCAACCTCGTGCCCTGATAATTCCTTCCTTACCCTCCATGCTATTTTCCCCACAGCAGCAGGGGTGCGGTGAGAGGGACCCCTGCCCCAGGCACATCTTGGAGGGGGTGCAAAATGTGCCTGCCTGAAACAGCAGCACGGGGAGGCAGGTCTGCATCACAGGCAGGAGGGAGATGAAGGGAAGAGAAGCAAGCAGGGGGAGATCTGGCAAAATGTAGCATTTCAAGCATCATTATTAGTCATCTGTCAGTGAAGATCAGAAAAGATAGTCAGTGAATAATGAAAGCACAGAAAAACTTGCTGCAGGCCTAAAACCTGTGACCAGAACAACATAAATACAGTGGCTAAAGCCTTCATGGAAGTGTACATTTTAAAAAAAAAAACAACTTTTAACATCAATATTCTGTTCACCGCAGATGGCTAGACAAGCATGAGGACCTTATTCTTGGACAAGTGCATTGTCCCCAGGGTGAGGACACATTTTCCCCTTTAATACACCATAATAAAGAAATCTGTTCTGATAGTTCTTGCTCAGACTGGGTTCCGCTCTCACCTGACCCCTTGCAAAGGGATTTCTCCTGAAACCAGAGCAAGTTTGTGCCAAGAAAAAACCCCACTTACTTCAAAGAGTGCTGAACACTTTGCCACTATCTCTGAGAAGCAAAGGTTGTCAGAGAGTTCCTCAGTACCCCCCACACAGAGGCTGGTTGGCTCTGGCTCACCGCTCTGTGAGACCACAACCAAGTGGGCTCATCTGCACCTCCATCTGCACCTCCC